GATTCTGAGGCCACCAAAGCGAAAGCCCTCCGCCACTTGGCTGCGCCTAGAAATCCTGTCCATAAAAATTATGAACAGAACCGGAGACAAAGGGCAAAGGGTTTTCATCATTTACTTTTAATAAAGTTACAAGAATTTGAAATTATGTTGAATTTTGAGTTTAAAATTAATTTAATAGGTTTTGTATAAAAGCTGTAGTGCATACTTTCTGGATGCACTGCATACCTGTTTATTTAGTTAAATGTGTTATTATCACAACCAAGAAGTCTAGAAACTTTCTTTTTTGTATTACATAATGGACAAAAAATTGTTATTTGGAACATTTGTTAGTTTTTTGTTTTGTTTTGTTTTGTCTTTTGTCATTGTTGTTTTGTGGGGGGTTTGTTTCCTAGGTGAGCACAGGGCTTTCCCAGTGAAGGACTTTGTCAAGCATGTTGCTGAACTTCACCACACTCAAAGCTTCAAACGAGAGTTTGAGGTATGACAAAGATTCAATTATATAATACAATTTTACAGTGGTGCAATAGTTATAGCACAGAAAGACTGCTTTCATAGGGTGGATTCAAACCCAGGACCTTGTTGTTGAGCTCAGTTTGGATTTGATAAGCAGAAGATTGATGGAATTTTAAAAGTTTTATGTTTGAGTAGTTGTGTGAGTGGTGTTAAGCTGGTTTTATGGTCCTCTCAAATCTGTCCATCCATGTACACTACTGGGGACAGAGGGGGAAAGGGCTTTTTCACTGTACTCAGTGGCTAACTGACTGACCAACAACAATGCAAGCAAGAGTGGCCCACAGACCAGTTTTACTCTCTACTCACTACAGATCACAATGTCGTCTATAAACATCATCAGAATCCTGCCTAACCTCATCTGTCAACTTGTCCATTGGGAATGAATAAATAAATGAATACAGAAAACATTTGGGCAACCGTCATACTGACAGTTCGTGAAGTTGCTTTGAGGCACATCCTATTGTGCAATATCAAAAGTGTGATATGGGTTAACCCTAACAAATCAAAATGCTGATGGGAAAATATTTACAAACAGTTTGATGTGATTTCTCCTTCATGTTTACAGGAGTTATACTGTGACATAAAGCTATGTGGATCTGTAATTTGTAATTGTAATTTGCCCTTTTGCACTTCTTTGGTTTTTGTTACGGAATTGTCCTGCTTGTCTGCTGCTGATTCGCCCTCAACCTTAGAAACTGAAGCCCAGTTACGAGGTAAGCCCCTGTCATTTATTCATGTTATTGCATACCACCAGATGTGTATCTGTCTTGTATTGCACGCTGTTTCCTTGTCATAGTATCAGTAAAGCACGTTTACTCTGTGGCAGCAGTAGAGGAAGGCATGACTGCATTATGTGAGCCGCAGGGTTATTACAAAGAGTAAAATGTGTGCATAAAGGTCATTTCTAGTTTCAAGAAATCCAACCAAAATCTGTTGGAAATCTGTTAAAATCTCAAAATCTTTTCTTTTAACCATGAACTGTTTTGGAAAACTAGTTGTATGAAGTTTTAAAATACATACACTATATTGGCAAAAGTATCCACTCGTCTGCCCTCACACGCATATGAGTGACATCCCATTATTAATCTGTAGAGTTTAATATGATATTGGCCCACCTTTTTGCAGCTAAAAAAAGCTTCAGGTCTTTTTGGTAAGGCTTCCTACAAGGTTTAGCAGTGTGTTTATAGTCATTTTTGACCATGCTTCCAGAAGCATATTTGTGAGGTCAAACACTGATGTTGGATGAGAAGACTCTGCTCTAATTCATCCCAAAAGTATTCTGTCTAGTTGAGGTCAGGACTATCACAGTACCACGCTGAAATTCACTGAGCTCCTGAGCGTGACCCATTCTTTCACAAATTTTTGTAGAAGCAGTCTGTATGCCTAGATGCTTTATTTTGTACACCTGTTGCCTTGGAAGTGATTCAACACCTGAATTTAATGTTTGGATGGGTGAATGAATACTTTTGGCAGTAAAGTGTATCTTAAGAGGGAATCTGATGCAATGTTTATCCTTGATGGTCTGATCCGCAGCTATTGCAACAGGCGTGTGGTAAGTGGTTTTGAGTCGAAAGGCGCTTTCTATCACAAGTTTATTTTACATTGTGTGGAATGTAAATTGAAATCTGCCAGTGTGCAACTGTACTCACTTATGATACATTTACCAAGACTTTAAGTTATCTTTGAAGACTCTAAGCTTTGCTCTGTGTGTGCATGTTTCTAGGAGGCACATATGTGCACTGTGGACATAGTGATGTCTACTGACAACGCAAATCATCCAGACAGCAAGACTGAAAACAGACACAGCAACAATTCGACCTGTAAGTACAGGTTCAGACAGTGTGATGTGCTTCATGTTCAAGATTCAGAGCAGTTTCAGATTTCTAACTTTTACTAAAGGACTTATTTTCATCTCTTAATCACAAATAAGATGGATAAAAGGCATAGCATAGTTATGATTATGTTAGGTATTTTAGGATATTAATTGTTAAGATTTTGCTGAGTCTGTGTGCTCTGCTAGTGTTTATCAGATGCAAATTAGTGTTTCTGTTGAGTTGAGGTTTTAAAATATTGTTTTTCAGCCGAAGTTCTTTTCATTAACAGGTACACATAAATACATGGTAAGGTATGTGTGGCCACAATACTCAACAGAGCACCACATATAGATTCTTCCATCACTGAGACTAGTCCCACAGTGCTACTGTTTATGACACACTGAACAAAACTATAAGGATTAGTAGTCACAAAATGCAGTTTTTAATTGATAGTTTCATTTATTAGAGAAAAAATCTACTTAACCTACCTGGCTCTATGTGAAAAAAGTAGTTGTCCCTTCTTGTTAAATCTTGACTTAACTATGATCAACACGTATTTTTTTTAAACTGAGTTTAACTTCAATAGCCATGCCTAGGCCTGATTACTACCGGACATGTTGAATCAAGAAATAGCTTAAGTAGTAAAAACATTGTTTCCTTCATTCCCCTACTTACCTCCTAAAAATCAAGTGGATACTATTTTGGAAATAGATCGTTTTGGCAAAAGGCGAATCTCTGTCATATGCAAACTGATGCAGAGCTTAAGGCCTATTACTTGGGGAAAAACTAAAAATAATTGGGTAAAAGACATTGGGGTGGATTTATCTGATGATGAGTGGAGATCTTGCTAAAATCGTATACATACCTCCTCCCTTTGCATTCACCATGGTTTAATTCAGTTTAAAATTCTTCATCGTCTTCATTATACAAGAGAGAGGCTTTCAAAAATTTTCCCAGAAGCCAATCCTGCCTGTCCCAGGTGTGGACATAGTCCAGCAAATGAGGGTCACATGATGTGGTCTTGTCCTAAACTGGACAAATACTGGGTAAATATATTCAAAGTATTATCTCACATCAGTGCGCAAAATTTAGTGCTTGATTTCCGCATTGGCATTTTTGGCCTCAATACGAAATTAGTACATCTCAGGAAAATGCCATAGCATTTGCTACATTGCTTGCCCTTAGACTCATTCTATTCCACTGGAAGTCTGATAAGGCTCCTTCATATATACAATGGTTAAAGGAGGTGCTTTTCTTTTTGCCACTGGAAAAACTTAGACACAGAGTTCTCTCATCACAACAAAAATTATCTGCGACTTGGAACCCATTTATTGACTATATAAAAACGTATTTTCCAGATGTGTGACGTACATTTTCTGTTTGTTTTGTTTCTCTTTACATGAAACTCGGGTGGGGAGGGAGGGGGGTTCTTTTTTTTTTCTTTTTTTAACTGTGCTTTATTTTTTTATGTATAATCGCAACGTTTTCATTTTGTTTTGTGACCATGATTTGTGTAAAGCGATTAAATTTAAAAAGTCAAAAAGAAAAAAGGAAAGCTAGATTGCAGGCTCAAACTGGAAGTTTGTAGTGTCCAATTTCTATTCTATCATTCCAGTTTTTTTCCTTTTTAAGTTGAATATGTAGGCGAAGTATTTCATACGCAGTATTGCAGTTTTTTATGCAGCCAAAACATCAAGATTTAATTTGGAACAATAAAAAATATAACTTCTTTATCCACCAAAAAAAAAAAAGAATGAATACTGGTGCATTTGTTACACGTTTATATCCAGATGCTGGTCCGGAGATTTAATTCTTCTTCATTTGCTGCACTTTCAGCTGTGGCTGCTTGTTCATTCCTGAAGAGTCAAGACAGCAACTGGGTTTTCAGTTCAGAGCCACAGTAATTAGTTGATTAAGAAGCCTAAAATCAACCAATGAATTAATAAAAATCTTCTGTAGCCTTATCAACACACAGGACTAAGATAAAGCATTAAGCTACAAATTTTGGTTTTGTATATGTAATCCATCCATATAAAAAGAAGAGAGAAATTAAATGCACTCAGCACTCAGAGTATAAAAACATGTATATAAAAGATGGGCACACACCATGACATCAATCTGTTCTGTGAACCTTTTTCTCACTGTTTTAAGCTTTGATTTGAGCATTTTTGTGATTGCTGTCTTTTTTATTTGGAGTCACAAGTGACCAAAATTGTTAAATAAATTTAAAATAACATGTAATTTCAAACTTTAATAAAAGGGAAAAAAAGAAATAGCTCAAGTAGAACAGAGACAGAGTAAAAGGTTAAAAGATCCCAGAAAGCAACACATCATGCCATAATGTAAAGAAACAGTTGAGAAACAAAGTCAGTGACACGAATTAGTCCAGAAAGAGTTAAAGGCTTTGGGACCCCAGCACAGTGTCTGAAACATACCACCTCTGAATGGCTCAAAACCCTAACAAGTCAGATTTAGGCAGCAATTAGTTTTTCACATTGGACCAGGTAGTTTTGGGTATATTTTTTCCTTAATAAATAAAATCATGATTTAAAAACTGCATTTGCTGTTTGGTAGGTTCTGTATTAAAATATGTTTACGTTTAAGTGTGACAGATGAGCAAAAAAAAAAAAGAAACTTGGTAGGGAGGAAATAGTTTTTAACAGCACTATATGTTTATTTTTGTCAAAAGTAAAGTACAGTAGAGGATCTAGAGTAACTGGCCCATTTCAGGACTTTCCTCCAGGATTACACCCCGAAGAGTTCAGGACCAGAATGTAATTGATAGTCATAAATTCTACACTCTATCAGGCGATGCTGAAGGAGAATGTCTCGTCATGCCCTGAAGTGTTTTAAATTTCAAAATTATATTTAATATCCAATTTATATGGAAGATGTCAAATTTGCTTACATGTCTTTATCTAATGTAAAATGAATTCATCTAATTTGTTATCTTTACTGTCTGTGTGTGTCTGTCTTTGCCTGTCAGATGATGATACCCAGGTACACCTCTCACTATTGGCCAACAAAAAAGGAAAAGCAATGGATTACATTAACGCAAGCTACGTGGATGTAAGGAAAACATTTTAATAAGCTACATACAAACTGAGGCCTTCATCCGCACTCTGAAGCTCATTTCTGTTTATTCAGCCTCTCAAACAAATAGTCTGAGGGTATTTTTATTCCCAGAGCCACTCAACACTTCCCTCTAGTCTTCCAAAACCAAGTCAAGTCTCCCTGCTGCATATTTCTAAACCTATTCACGAGAGGGGACCTGCGAAGCTCTCTATTATGCTAGTAACGGCACCAATAAAACCTTATTTCCAACATCTTGTTGTTTTGTGAAAAGCAGAAGCGACACAAAAAGACCTCTCTGCAGTCATGGCCTCTCTGGAGAGCCGGCATACAGGTTAGAGTTGGTAAAAGCACATTGAGAATCTCTACAGCTCCTACTTTTGTCTGCTTTTGGCGCATTGACGACAACTTCATGCTGTCAGTCAACTGAAGGTTATCAAACTATTAAATGGAGTGATTGAACAGCGCTCTCTCCTGAGAACACGTGACAGTCTTCCGTAGGCTGGCCTTAACTAAACAAATCACCAGAATTCTGCCATCTTGACATTTTTGTTAAAAACACACACACACACACACATATATACACACACATACACACACACGTTTTGTTTGATTTGGCAATTTAGTCTCCAATTTGAGCACCTATACAGGAGCTTTCTTGGGTCCTTTCTCAGTAGTAAAAAAAATCTAGTAAATTTGAGTTGTGGGATTTAGATTGACTGTGAAGTGCATTTAAATGCTTCATTTTCAACAGGAGAACAAATAGGAAGCTCCAAGTGGACTTTGAGGAGAAAATATTTTTGAGCACATTTTGTTTTTAAAAATCAACTACAACAAGAAAAACTTTATCATAAAAAAGCTACAAATTCTAGTGAAACAGGTTGAACTCGTATTAGACTGAACACACCAGGAGTAAATGAAAATATGCTGGTATTCCTGAACTAGCATCTCTTGTAGACATGTTTCTAATTTTAGAGATATTGCACAAATCCTAAATATTGATTTAATATGAGCTTTGAGATATCCTGATTAAAAATGACTCCTAAGGTTTCGGAAAGTGTTACTGAAGGCCAAGGCAAGTCATCTACATATTCGTCTCCATTTTAGAAGGAGGAAATTCAAAAGACATGCCTGAGTTTAACTACATGATGTGAATCATCTGGCTTCATGGATAGATAAAGTTGGCTATCATCTGCATATTGTATGTTATTTATTCTAATAATATTGCCTATTATTTAAATGTATAATGTCAATAGAATTGGTCCTTGACAAAAAGAAGACTCAACATTTGCATGAACAACCTGGATAGATATAACTTAAACCACTGTAGTGCAATTTCTTTAAAAATTAATTAATTAAAAAGTCTGTAGTAAAATATTGTGCTAAGTGTTATCAAATGCTGCACTGAAGTCTAGCAGGAGTCTGACAGTGTGTAAGCTCACTGTCAGAGGCCATAAGAGGTCGTTAGTAACCTTTGGTAGTGCGGTTTCTCTTCTGTGATTCTGAATCCTGACTGAAATTCTTCAAATGAACCGTTCCTCTGCAGATAATCAGTTAACTGGAGGATGTTATAAGGCCTTGAGGCAATCAGATGTAAAACACAATATTCACGAGTGTTTTAAATCGTAAATTCTTTTTTGCCTATTTTTGATTTCTAATATTGTAATAAGTTTTGGTTGGTTGGCCTTCACCTAAAGTTATTTATTAGTAATAATAAATCCAGATTCATAAAGGAATGGGGCAACTATACTTGAAATAGCTATCAATGTGGTGTTTAAGCATTCAGAGCAAAAACTCTAATGGACAATCTTTTTATTATCTCATTGTTTTTCACATTGCAATGTAAAAGTACATGAACACAACAAAGTCAGCAGAACAAATTTCCCATCTTGTACTTAGTACATCTTGCACATACACCTGTGACATTCTGATTTGCCAAAGATCATGTCAGCACTTTGTGTTTCTCAGGGTTTTAAGAAGCCACGGTTGTACATTGCTGCTCAGGGGCCTGTGAGGTCGAGCATTGAGGACTTCTGGAGGATGATATGGGAGCAGAACATCTGCATCATCGTCTTGATCAGCAACCTGGTGGAGAAAGGATGCGTAAGTGTCTCGTCATAGTTTCTGAAATTACATTTATATTTTTGAGTTGAAATATATATGAACATAATCTGATGACACACACAGAGTGAACTTGTGTTCACTCATGTTGGTCAGTAAAGAAAGAAACGATTCTGTAGCTTTAAAAAATATATTTTTTTACACTTTTACAGTACTCTTTTATAAATATCGATCAACCAAAGAAGAATCTTTTCCATCACATTTCTTTTAGCATTATATGCATGTGTTTACTGTGTCTTAGAGAATATATGATCAGTACTGGCCACTAGAGGTGCAGGAGGAGTACGGCAGCTTTCTTGTGACTGTGAAGAGCACTAAAGTCCTCGCCTACTACACCCAGAGAACCTTTATCATCAGAAAAATCCAGGTAAAAAAGGTCAGCCTGTAGCAGTCACCCTTAAGTATCCTGTGTAATGACAGAATTTCACTTCATTTTCTTTTTTATAGCTCTAATTTGCAAAGATGATCACTTCAAGAGAAATAAAGACCCTAAAATATTAGAAAGGAGTTCCCTTAATGGGAACCAGTTGGGGTGAGGGGAAAGAGAAGAGAGTAGAGAGACTGCACTACATACAATATATTTAGATTTTCATGTTAATTGTAACAAGGCCAAGTAGGAGTGGCAAGAAATTATTTTAGGGTGGCAGTACCGCAGTAGATCCATCCATGGATGGCACAAGTTAGAATTTCACAACTCGAGTGATGTCAGTGAGTCACTGTTGGTATCTTCCTGTTACTGACTGCTTTGTTCTTGTCCACCTGCAGAGTTCTCAGAAGGGGCGGGCCAAGGAGGGGGCTAATGAGCGGACTGTGACACAGTATCATTACACCCAGTGGCCTGACACTGGCGTTCCAGACTTAGCTCTGCCGTTCCTCTGCTTCATCCGCAAGTCGTCCAGAGCCAGGACAGATGACATGGGGCCACTGATGGTTCACTGCAGGTGGGAACTGCCAGAAAGAGTTAAAAATCTCATTTTCATTGGCAGCTGAATATATATTCTTAACTCTAATATTCTCTTTGCCGCGCAGTGCTGGTGTTGGCCGCACGGGCACATACATTGTCCTGGACAGTATGCTGACGCAGATCCAAAATGAGGGCTCCGTCAACATCATGGGCTTCCTTAAACACATTCAAACTCAGAGGAAATGCCTGGTGCAGACAGAGGTCACCCTCATTCCTGTCCATACACACCCACACCTATAGCCAGTCAACACACCATCCATTTACTACCATTAATAATAATACTAGCTAATAATAATGACTTCTTTATGGATGGTAAATCCTGAGTCTCTACATGGCAAGTTCAGTGTCATTGATCTGTGCACCCAGACTGGAACAACTGACATTAAATTGGAACCAAACACTGATGCAGCCCAGAAGATTAAAAAAATAAAAAACGAGAACCTCACTGGCAATACTTAGATTTTTCTTCAAGCAAACCCATGCCTTGGTATGCTGAAGCATTAGCGGTGCCTTTCACTGGAACTAAGGGGTTGAGCCCAACTCCTTAAAAGTAACCCCATATCCACCAAACATTACACTTGACAGACTCATCCATCGGGCTGTCAGACGGAGAACCATGATAGAACCATGATTCATCACTTTTCACTGCATTACGCCGCTTAGATGCAGCTGCTCGGCGATGGAAACCCACCCCATGAAGCTCTTTATGCACTGTTCTTGAGCTAATCTGAAGGCACATGTGGTTTGAAGGTCTGTAGCCATTAACTGCTGAAGACGTTACACACTATCCACTTCAGCATCTGCTGACCCTGCTCTGTGGCTTTAGCGGTCTACTACTTCAAGGCTGAGTTGCTGTCATGCCCAGTCTCCTCCACTTTGTGAACCGTAGTAGTGAGGACATTTCCCAACTGGACTTGTTGCACAGGTGGAATCCTGTCACGGTAGCATACTGAAATTCACTTCAGTGCCTCAGACTGGCCCATTCTTTCACAAATTTTTGTAGAAGCAGTCTAACAGAGGTGTCTGATTTGATATCCTGGTGGCCACCTGAATTCAATGGTCTGGATGAGTGAATGATTACTTTTAGTAATGTAGTGTAGCAGTATGATATAGAGGGGTTACAGTCATTTTGATCACTGTTGTATACACCCTCTACATTCATTCCCATAATGAGTGTATATAAACCCCTGACCACAACTGTAGACCTTTCTTTCAACCATATTTTGATTCTGTGTAGAATTAATAAAATAAATTGAAATGATTGCTAGAGATCTTGTTAAATATAGCACTGAACAGAATATTCTTCTCACGAATACAGTTTTAGTTTCTATCTATATTTTTCACTGGCAGGCAGAACTAGAATGCATTAACAACCTTTTTTTCACAAAAGTTCATCCTGATCCCGAAGTCCCAGAAATAATCAACTTTGAATTTTTGTGACTTGTTATTTTCTGACAGCCATGTTGTTTAATTCCATCTCCCATTTCTAAGGCCCACTAGGGTTATGATGGTTTGTCAGTTTCTAGTTCATGGCTAGAACTGTATCAGGTATAAATTTAGGACAAATAAACAGAAAAATAGGGAAATAAATTATGTTGCTCCTGCGACAACTTTGCCTCGCTGTTCTAAGCCCCTGCTATAAGATTAGCATGTGCACATGCTGAAGCCACACTGAAAATAAGTCTGTGATGCTTTTTGGCCTCAAACAGGACAAAATCCAAAGCCTAGAGATAACCTAGATATAACATAAGGTGCTGCCCCCCACTCCCAAGAAAAGTTCAGCAACATAGAACAACAGAAGATGCCATCAGCAGTTTGTTTGCTTCAACAGGGAATAATGCCAAAACAACAAACAATCAGCAAACATTTTACAACAATTTTATCTGATCCTAACAGGACAGCGAGTCTGTACTTGCTGACAAGAGGTCAAATTTGTCCTCTCAAACAGAGTCTGCAACTGGAGGAATAAAAATTAAAGCTGTTGGGAGAAGTTTATTTTAGAGTTTAATTTTAAAATATGCTGCAAGTGTCACATTTTCACTGATTCGTTTATTTAAAGCACATTTTAAGTGTATTATAGATTTATTGGTGAGATGATGTTTTATATGTGCAGCTCGTTAAACTGCACATATAAAAAACACTAAATGAGGCACAAACTATGTGTTACATCGTGACAGGAATGTCTGGATATTAATTTGGTGATTCAGAAAATGTATGAAATGATTGTATGTCTGAGTGTCTTTACATTACTGGAATTGTGGCTACTAGAACAAAGACCACTCACCAAAAAGACCTTCTTAATTAATCGGACTAATTTGACATTCATCTGCATCAGACTGTCAAACTCCACATCTCCTTTATTAGACAGTAAGATTTTTTTAATGTTCAAATGAATAGAGTTCAATGTTTAACATTTTAAACTTCCTACCTGGCTCAGCCAACACACACACACACACACCTTGAAAAAAACCACATACTGAGAAAAACATAAAAACAACAACATGTGATCAACATAATCCTGAATCATAAAAGTCTCCGGTTATGAGGCTGTTAAAAAAGTTTCAATGACAAATTTAAACTTCCTGTTTTTTTCTTTCTGCAGGAACAGTATGTTTTTATCCACAATGCCCTGGTGGAAGCCATCTTGTCTGGTGAGACAGAGGTGGCAGTGGCTCAACTGCATACGTACGTGGACAAGCTGATGACCCCAGGGCCTGATGGAGGAACAGGGATGGACAAACAGTTCAAGGTAAGCCTTACTCTCAATATGTTTCATTGAGACAGACACAGTCTCAGGCAGTCTTCATATTATCATAAACTATTATCATACTTATTATCAGACATCTTTTAATGAAAGATGGGGTTTTTTAGTTGTTTACAGGTTTTTGATGTTTTCCACAGATGGTTTGTTACACCAATCTGAAGCACTGTGACTATTCCACAGCTCTGCAGGACTGCAACCACAACAAGAACAGGAACTGCTCGGTGATACCCAGTGAGTCTGACACACTCGTCAGCTGCAGCTGAAAATACTGCACATACACAAAAACATCTGTCTCCACAAACATGTTCTATCTGATATTGCAGTTGAGAGGTCACGAGTGCATTTGCCGACAACAGCAGGGGAAACATCAGACTACATTAATGCATCATATATCGCAGTAAGTCATATATATATATATATATATGACTCTGTGTGTATATAATTCATCAGTAACAGCCACCGTTTCAAGTAATGAGGTCAGTAAGTGTGGCTGACATGTTCCTCCAGGGTTACAGGCACACCAAGGAGTTCATCATTACCCAGAAACCCTTGCCTGTCACCATAAAGGACTTCTGGACAATGATATGGGACCACAACGCCCAAGTCATTTTGTCACTGCCTGGGGTGAGGAACCGTTCTTTTTAAAGACATCCCTGAAAGAGATATCAAGTTGGAGATATCTGTGAATTGTCACAAATGCAATGTAATGATTTCCTGTGTTGGTAGATGGAGGAAGAAGCAGAGCCATTTGTTTTCTGGCCTTATAAAGGGCAGCTGATCAGCTATGAGATGTTCACTGTCACTCAAAAGAGTGAGACTCATGTTTGTCTGTCCAACGAGGACCTGCTGGTAGTTCAGGACTACATACTGAAAGCTACAAAGGTTAGTAACATGGCAGTTTGAATTCCCTCTAAAAAATGTATCCCAGCTTTAATTTAAAACCCACGCCCATAAGAATAGTTGTCATGTGGACATGAAAACTCACTCTCATGACTGACTGTGACTGATGTTTGCTGTCTTTTCTTATCTTAATAGGATGACTACGTTCTTGAGGTGAGACACTATCGTGCTCCCAACTGGCCAAACCCAGACAGTCCCCTCACTTCCACCTTTGAACTTCTCAAACTGATGAAGGAAGAGATCCTCACAGAGGACAGCCCTACTGTGGTCCACGATAAGTAAGACCCTTGGACTACTTACAATACTGTCGTCTGGTCTGATACTTGTTTTGTAATCTTTATATTATTCACGATCCATATCTATGCATCTGTCTGTCTGTGTACCTACCTACTCAGGCCTTCTTGTCCAACCTCTGAACCTCTTGTCTGACCTCTCTGTCAGGGTGCTGGTTCAGCATTTTGAGTTTATTCTGTTTTGTGATTCTTTGTATTATTGGTTTAGGATCAAGTTTTATTCCTTGAGTTTAGTTCCTTTTATGTTTTGAGTTTTTTTGTTGTTTATTTTTCAGTTTACCTGTTTTTATTCATGTTTGTTAGCAGCCAAAATACAGTGAGGAACATAAGTATTTGAACACCCTGCAATTTTCAAAGTTCTCCCACTTAGAAATCATGGAGGGATCTGAAATTCACATTGTAGGTGCATTCCCACTTTAAAAAAAACAATTAGGAAATGACACTGTATGATTTTTAAAGAATGTATTTGGACACCTGAGAAAAGTAGTGTTAATATTTGATACAAAAGCCTTTGTTTGCGATTACAGAGGCCAAACGTTTCCTGTAGTTCTTGACCAGGTTTGCACACAGTGCAACAGGGATTACGGCCCACTCCTCCACACAGATCTCCTCTAGATCTGTCAGGTTTTGGGGCTGTTGCTCAGCAACATGGAGTTTCAGCTCCCTCCAAAGATTTTTTATTGGATTTAGGTCTGGAGACTGGCTAGGCCAGTGGACAGGTGTCTTTAAAGAGCTCAGACAGGTGCTAATAATTTAGATTAATAAAGGCATAGTAACAGGTCTTTGAGAGCCAGAATTCTTGCTGATTGCCAGGTGTTCAAATTTTATGTGCAGCAGTGCAATACAAATAAATTCTTTAAAAATCATACAATGTCATTTCCTGAATTGTTTTTTAAATGCTGTCTCTCACAGTGGCAATGCACCTACAATGTGAATCTCAGACCCCACAATGATTTCTAAGTGGGAGAACTTCGAAAATCGCAGGGTGTTCAAATACTTATGCTCCTCACTGTAAATGGTTACACTTTTTGTTAAAAATCAATTTTTGCCTTTGATTGTCTGCATTTGGGTCCTCATAAAAAGCTGCATGGTCTGCAGCCACAGACCGTGGCACTCCCAAATGCACTTCTAGAAGAATGGTCAAACATTCCCATAAACATACAGTTGAAGCTGCAAAGGGTGGGCTGACATAATATTTACCCTATGAATGAAGACAAGACAAATTGATATGCATGCGATGGCAGACAAGCAAATACTTTTGGCAATATAGTGTATATAGTGGAGATGGAAGTTGTGGGTGTATGTGTGGGTGTGTTTGTGTATGTATATAGATAAGATAGATATAGATATATAGAGAGAGACGTTGGATGTCGGACTGGAGAATAATAAAAAGGCCGCTAGAAAAGCTGCAGCCACCAAATATCAGCAGAGAATAACCTAAGTCCTCAGGCGTCAGCTGAATCAGAAGAACAAGATTCGTGTAATCAACACATACGCCCTGCCAGCTTATTATCAGACATCAATAAGCTGGCAGGCCCAAGGGAGAAGATAGAAGCCATTGACATCAAGACAATCAAGCTCCTTACCATGTATGGAGGGTTTCACCTCAAATCCAGCACCCTGAGACTGTATGCTAAGCAGGAAGGTGGCCAAGAACTAGTGAGTATCAGAACTACTATCCAGGATGACACAACAAAGATCCATGAGTACATCAGGAAGATGGGCACATAGTATTGCTTAGTGAATACCTCAGGCAGCAGAAACCAGAGAAAGAAGAAGAGCAAGAGCTCCCATGATGACAGACCCGCATGTACCACCGACAAACAGAAGAAGGGATATTGAGAAATCCCACCAGTAGCTAGCTAGACTGAAAGACATCACAGAGGCAGTAATCATGGCAACAAAGGAACAAGCTCTAAGCACAAGATCCATACAGGCTGGGGTCTAACACACCAGGCAAGACCCGAGGTGCAAAGATGCCCCTGAGACAATCCAGCATAACTGCAGGGTGTAAGATGCTAGCAGGCAGGGCATACATGGAACGCCATAACCAAGTGGCGGCCTAGTCCACAAGAACATGTACTGAGTATGGCCTAGAACTCCCAAGGTCAAAATGGGAGACGCTCCCCAAGGTGGCTGAGAATGACCAGGCTAAGCTCTTGTGGGACTTCCAGATACAAACAGACAAAGTGGTAATGGCTAACCAACCGGACATAATGTAGCTATGCCAAGTAGTAGCAAAATCAGGAAAAAGAAAACACAAGAAGTTGGAGCCACATGCCCATATAATTTTATTTATTTTGTTTTTTGTTTTTTAGTGTGGGTGGGTTTACAGCAGGACTGTTCTGTGCTCTTTCGTCTCTGACTCGCCAGTTGGATGCCGAAGCGTCAGTGGATGTCTTCCAAGTAGCCAGGCTGATGAATCTCATGAGACCTGGAACCTTCAACAACATCGTAAGTTTGTCTGTCTCACAATAATTTTATTGTAATGTAATGCTGTAAAGTGTACCTCATTAAATTCGAATATTTAAAAAATATATAATTAAGCATCAAAACAACAAGGCAGCTGTTTTTATTGTAATAGGCTCTTTATATGTTGGGTTTTTTCTGTTTGTTTAAGGGTATAATATGCCTTAATGGCTGTGGCCTTTTTCAGTAGGAAGACAACAGTGAAACGGCAAGAAGCACGACAATGAGTTTGAGGTGTTGACTTCACCTCCAAATTCTCAATCTAATCAAGCATAAGCAATTGTTTTTTTCCAGCACTTATTTTGTACTGGACAAAAAAAGTTTGATCCATGGAGATACCTTCAAGGGTCTAGTGGAGTTCATGCTGTTTTGGTGGCAAAAGGGGTACCAACATGTCAATTCATTCATCAATTGTCGATTCATGTTAATGTTATTGCCACCTTGAGGTGGCAACAATCCCTTCAAGTTTTATATTGTAAAGATCCTACAATAATGCATAAAAGATCCCAAGCGCTTCAGGGCTCGCAAAATTTCAAAATCCCTGGTAGCCCTTCGGGCAGGGACTCTTCAGTTTTTGGTAGCCCAAAATAAATT